TGGACTTTATACCTTGTTGTCGTTTAATGACATCTCCTCGTCGAACCGGAGAACTTGGTGACTTATCTATCTTTTGAACCTTCGAAAGAGGTGAACGCACTCGAGAACCTGTCCTTATATTACTTACGGCAATGGTTTCTTCATCAGGCACAAAGATATCGTAATAGCCAGACCTCGCTCCCATTATACTGCTATCATTCGTGAAAACAGTGGCGCCATTCAGGTTAGCGTTTTCATACACATCTGAAAAAAAGGTAGATGGTTCCGTATTGGGAAGGACAATTAGGTTGCGATACCCGTAGATATCAGGCCGCTTGATTTCCAGCTCAGTAGAGCATGGTGCTAAAAAGTGTGTCACAATATTTAAGTTGTGGCAGTTTTCACCACCAACTTCATTATGTCGAAGGCCAGGTCGAGTCCAAATTTCGCCAAGCCGCCAAGAAAGTTGCTCACCGGTGCCAGTCATGGGTGAGGTTTTAATGCACTTTGTTTGAGAAGATGGCCTACAGCCAGAGTCATGAAGTAGCTGCAGTGTAAGCTCATTCGGAGAGAAGGAAGATATGCGTCCACTTTGGATTGATCTTATAAGGACCTCGGCAACGTAGTCTGCAGCACTATGCACTGCTTTTAAGCCTTGGAGGAATCCTATTTGGTATTCGTAGACAATGCACAAGTGCTGCGCAAATCTATGAATACTAATCTTGCGGTCAGATTCTGTAGTACTTCTGAGGATTGATAAAATACGAGACTGTTCAATATCGTGAAACTGGGGAAAAGGAAGATCATTTGCCTCCAATCTAGGCAAAGACTCATTTGAAAAATCGGGAAAGTGTGGATGAGAAAAATCCGTTTGAGAGCCTATGTCCAAGTTTGAATTTGAATCAGAATTTTCTGAGAGTGGAATTCTTTTACCTGGCAAAATGCGTGTCCAGGAGATACGCATCATAAATGGAGAATTAGTTAAGGAACGTACCTTTGGCGAACGATTTTGATTAACTGATTTTGAAAATAATTTGCCGCGTCGATATACCCCACACTCAAATTCAGGAGTTTTATCGCCCAGCGAAATCTGATCTCCGTCTGAGCTGAGACTTCTGTTTTTCAGATTTCCAGCTTGAGCTCCTGCAGAATGAGGAGACCTCTCTGATGAATGCAGAAATACAGCGGCACTTTTGGAAACGCAAGAAGGATTTGAGATATGTCTCTCCGAAGAAGGACGCAAACCAAGAGATCCAGATGCTTGAAGTTTATGTTCAAAAGATTTTGCTAACCGATTTATAAACCACTTAAGGTGTAGTAACACTTTTGCATGATTAAGTGCAGGGCTGTTCAACATCATTATTAAGTGAAAGGAAAAAAAGAATGGCAAGGAAAATGTGGCTCAGAGAGTTGACCTGATTTTTCCCACTGATTACAACGAAGCGATAACACAAGGATTAGCGGCGGGGACTTACATGACGCGGTAAATACAACGGCTAAATATACAAACAAATTTTTAGTAATATATATTTATCTTTATGAAAGCACAAATTTATGTTTACAAAATATATTTTTCATGTATTTGTTAGTTGACCTTGGTATGCAAAGTAAAGTAGCTTAGGTCGTTTGGTATGCATGACGTTTTGCTTGTTTTCATTTGAGCGGGGGCTGTATTCGGTAGTTCACAGTCGGTCTGCATTTTACTTGATTTTTGAACAGGAACCTTCCGGCGTCCTAATTTATGTTACACAAGGACTGTTATACTTTCACCCAGTAGTAATTGTCACTACGTTCTAATGCGACGTGAACTCGTTTATTTTAAGATCACAATCTATTTTAACCTGCTGAATTTGAGTTTTGGGACTTTCCGCGTAGACTGCATAATCTGTTGCTCATTTTCTTATGCGTTTTGAACATAATACTCAGGAAGGATTTGGTTTTTAATTTTAGTGGGCATCCATAGTTTGGAGAACAATTTCATTATGCTACACTTTTGTGAATTTGTATTCTTTTATCGAAGCGTTCTACACTATGTTGTAGTATTCTGAGATCAATAAATTCATGCATGCTGATGGTTATATTTTCTTCAGGAAATGCCGGCAGCTGTAAAGGTGAAAGTTCTTGCGGCTCGAAACCTTCCAGTGATGGACCGGACATCCTTTCTCACTGATGCTTTTGTTGAGGTTTGTACTTTGTTGTGGTTACTGTAAGGTTCGTCTTGGAAACACCATGTTCAAAACAGAGGTTATTCGGCGTACACTGAATCCCGAGTGGAATTCTGACTGGTTTTGCTTTGAGGTGATTATTCTTAAGTCATTTTAACAAAGTCGTAGCTCAACGAGGAAGCTCTACTCGAGGAAGCGCTCCAAGTTCGCGTACTTGACCATGACACCTACAGCGCTCACGACGCCATTGGTAGAGTGTACGTTGACCTTACGCCACTGCTTCAAACAGAACAGAAGCGCACTCTTAATGGCTGGTTCCCACTGTACGACACCATGCATGGTAACGTGATCACGCTCTCTTTTGTGCTACTATTTGCCTTGCCTAGGCATTCGTGGTGAAATTAATCTCGCAGTACGTGTTGACCTATTCTCCGACGCCTGCAGACAACGATTCTCGTCACTTGGAGTCCGGTTTTTTTTCAGTGAGTGCTATTCATTTGTTTTCTCCCAGCGACATTTCGTTTACTGTTTGGTTATCTGTATTTTTTAACTTTTCTTCATTGCTTCGACATTATCAACGGTGTTTTAAGACTTGTTGCAAAAATTTCACTTATAATAAGTTTTGCCGTCAATGTTTTCCAAGTACTTTGCTGCTTGTCCAGAGTGACTTTTTATCGACTGCTATTTAAGATGAAATTTAGTCGGTGTCACCTTGTAATGATTTTATTTTTATGCACTCCCACTTACATTTTGAAATAAATTGTAATTAATGTCTAAGTGGAATTAGCATGTTAATTCATCTTGTGTCTGATTTAATCTAAAGACTATTACACGTTAGTCACTTTTGTTGAAAGTATTTTGATAGCTTCATTCGCATCAAAATTACCGCATTCTTTGGAGGTTTTTCGTTACACTCAATGTTGGTTTTTTTCATACTAATGTCCTTATTTTTACCCACCAACTAGTGAGCGCAAAATTTTCGTAAATTTTTGCTTGCTTAATATTAGTGCATTTCATTCCTCTTCAACGAAATGTTGTCTGAACTGTAGCCGATCTTTGCTTCTAGTATGTTTATTTTAATGCTATTCCTACCTACTTGTTAAATGATTAGTGTCATGCCAAATAACCGGTTGATCATTTGCGAAGTTCCTCATTTCTTAACACGTACAAAAGACAGTTTAACATTTTTCACCAAGGAAACTATTTGGAATAATTGATGTCAACTGTTTGCCATCCCCTTCTTTCATAGGCTCTTCCATTCCTTCAGGATACAGAGTGATCAGCCTCATCGGTTTTGTCCGAGAATTAGTTATGAACGACGACCCAGAGCATCAGTGGATTGAGAAAATTCGGACCTCAAGAGCTTCCAACGAGGCTCGACAATGCCTTTTCTCGCAGCTAGCGGGTAGGTTCTACTGAGTATCATACTATGCTGCTTCGAGTTATTCATCACTTCAACAATCCCTCATGGCCTTTGGCTGTAGAATTCATTTTTATCTTCTTTATTCCTGATACAATAAACTCTTTACTAACGATTAAAATTTTAAATGCACTTTGTGCCGTTTTTCATGTAAAATACTTTACCCTGTAGTAAGTCCTTTCTTCAGTATTTTTTAACGAAAGGTTATTACTTGGTGGTTTTTATAAGTTTTAATTCAGTGAGCAATGGTAAATTTCGCCCATCTTTACCCTTTTTTGATATGATCCCGAATTTCTCTTGTTGTATTTCTAATATCTCCTCCTTTTCAGGCGAACTACAAAGCAAGTTGAGCCGGAAGGTTCTTAGCTTAGGCGGGAACGCGGTCATTGGGTATGGTTTTTTTCGACATACCTTAATGCTGCCAAAAAATTAAGTGGCCTTCGAAGTTTTGAGATATGGACATTTTCAAATGCTTGTGAATACGTAGTGTACCAAATTAAATAATAAAGCTATGGACCTCATCTACCGCTATACCATCTGCTTCAATCGGGGCGTTGTATTTACCATATCACCTGCAGAACTTGCTTGTTTTTAAGTAGCGTATTTTCTATCTGGCTTCCATTTCAATATATCATTTAAATATGTTGCGTTTCCGACCAGGATTTAGCTGGCATAAATAATCCTCCCTTATGAATTTTTATGCGAGCTTTACTACAGAGTTCAGGTGTGACTTGATTTTTTTGCAACCAATTCACTCAAGCTTTTTGGACTTTGCCTTGATATCCAAGCACTTTACGAAATTGTTTGTTGTGGGTTCAGGTATCGGTTGCACTTTGATCTGGAGGGTGACACAGGAATCGTGGCACGAGCCATTGGAACTGCCGTTCGACTTCAGCGCTCTCCTACCAATAGTCAGCTAAGAATATCGCTGCTGAGGAAGTGAGCGATTCCCTGTAATTTTAACTTCAATGGTAATTCCTGTATTTCTTCGTGCTGTTGGTCGCCGTTTTGAGCAATCTCTGTAATAGTTTACTAAATTGCGATATCTACTTCTTGCTGTGATATGCTCTTGATATTTTCCCGGTTTCAGAGAAAGTTTCATAGGGTTATTTACCATGCCGTCATTTTAACATCATTAAATTGTCGAAGGATGAGTCTTTCAAACTTAACGTGCTTACGATAGAGTGCCGATGTTAACATTCATGTCGCTGTCTACATCCTTTCTCAAAGGAACGCTTGCTTGCGACGTAGAGCTTCTGTTTCTTTTCTCATATAGTTTTCAAATTTTTTTATTGTGGAACTGCATGGCCATAAATGAAAAAATGCTTCCAGCATTATGATGGTTGCCGAAATTGCTAAACTTGGAGCGGAAACTTTTCGTTCATCTTTAATATCTTCAATATTAAGGAGAAGCGTTCAAATAGTTGTAAACACAGGTGCAGGTCTAGCTGTTTTAGTAGTGATAATGCCTTTACCATGAATGGGTAAATTTTTGATGAACCATTTCTGGCAGATTGATTTCCGCTAAACAATCTACCGATATTTCAGAATCTTCCTTATAAACAAATGACTGTAAAACTTATTTCAAAGATTTAATAAACGTTGATAGGTCAAATTGATACTGTGAAGGTGGTGCCTTTGGTATGACACTGATTTCCATGAAGATTTCACTTCTCTTTGTATCTTTTGATCAAATAAATACCCTTTAAGGAAACACTGTGGGCAAATTTGGTGACTAATGATACGAGACTGGCATTACAATAGTGTTGAAACCCAGAAATGAATTAAAGTATGCTCTAGGATTCCATCGATTTTCCTCTCTTTTTTGAAATCATCAGTCTGATATTCTAGTTTCACACTCTCCTCATTTGATCTCAACGCTTAGGATGTTCCTCTTGAAACTTTGTGTTTTACAACTTCTTAAATCTGTATGCATTGTTATTATTTCTATTAACATAGATATTTTTGGTCAATTCACGACAATTGTATTTAAGGACTCGTGTTTTTGGCTGGTTTATGATTATCCTGTCGTGTGGTTTTGCAGAAATTCAGAAAAAGGTGATTCTGAAGTGGAAACAAAAGTACCAGTCCAGGGCGAGAGTGATGCTAAGCCGTATGGTACGTCGCCTAGTACATGGTTTTTAATCGCATATCTCACATGTAGGCTACAGAATATCCCGTTATTTTTGGCGTTTCAAGTGTTTTTTCTTTAGAAAACTTGACCAGGGAGTGATTGAGCGATAAACTTGTGTAGAGTTTGCAAGTAAAGCTTTTTATTTAATCGTCAATCAATATTACAGTTTATAATTTATTTATTCGATAAATTTGACTGGTGCAAATGATGGTACATATCTTTTTTTTCGTAAAAAGTTTATTGGAGTCATGATTTGTGTCCGCTTTTAGTTAGATTGAGGAAGTAGTATGTGTTTGACTTTACCCCTGAATTATCTGTTCCCTGTTTTACTTTTCGATTTCCAGTCAATCCCCCAATTGGCGGGTATGCGTTGTCTTCTCCCAAACCCCTCAATGCTGCAGTATGTTATCTCTAACTTATGCATTTTACGTATTTTACAAATTGCAATGGCTTGTAGCAAATTTCGTTTTCTACTTTGCCCTCGTTTAGTAGCTATAACATCATCTGCAGTTTGGACTACTATTATTCAAATGCCACATTTTGTGCTTGGCAGAACATTTGGGAATAGGGTGATATGCATTGCTTCGGTCCTGCAGTCCTCTTGCTGTTATGCACGAGCACTGTGGTTTGAGAAAATAGTTTCTGCTTAAGATAAGTAGAATGCCTTCTTTTTAGAATCACAAGCGTCATCAATATAGCTTGGCAAACTTATTCATGAGCAACGTCGAAGCTTTGCATTGATTTGACCTTGCAGAATATCTTTTTGGGAAAATCGTCGAATGTTAACATACGAGTTTTTGTGGTGCATGCGGTTGACTTCGCTCATTCTCTGCTTTTAAATATCTTTTATACGCTGTAATTATCCTAACTTCGTAACGGCTTATTTTTAAACTAAATTACTTGTACGTAAACTTCCAATACTTACAAGGAATTGGTTGTTGAATGGTTGAATAAATTGAAAGCTAGCATGGCTTGCTAACTTTTTCATTATGTCTTTTTGCATTCATGATATTACTAAGCATTTTCCAGTCATGCATGGAAGTTACTTTATTCTAATTACTCTTTTAGGAATTCCCTTTCCTTACGATTTCACACCCACCGAGAGGACTTATTCGCCACTTTGGCAGTGTTATTGTTGCAAGATCTGTCAAGCTTTTAGACAAAAATGCAACAGGTTAGCATGCTTTTTTCTGCCTTTTCTGTAGCTTACCGACTTGACTTCTTTTCTGGGTAGCACCTGCGAATGGCGACTTCTTCCTTTCTAATGTTTTCTTTTTTGTTTTTTTTACGCATATTAATATGAAAAGGAGCATTGTCACTCATTAACTTGCTTCCCATTACTCATCATAGTCATATTCTCCTATTGCTTTTACTCATTTCTTGCCATTATTGTAGTTGGCTTGTTCTACGAATCAATATTTTGAGAGCTAAAATTCAGCAATAGTTATAACTTCAAATGCCTTTTTTATCATCATCTTCAGATATACATTAAGCGTTTTTTTCTAAGGTACTCCTTTTGTCTAAGCACATTTCATAAGTTCATTATTTTTCACGGGATATTCTTACAATAACGCACCCTTTTATCAAAGCCACTGTTTTTACTTACTGATGAATTCTTCAACCCCCAAAAGGTTATCGACCACTAAGATATGTGATTTCACTAAGTGCTAATTGCTGGCTAGTTTTTTTATTTTTTGGAAAATGTCAGCCTATTTTCTTGACAAAGGATCTTTGTAATTGCCTTACCTGCCTTTGGTTTGGTCAAATTCTCTTTAGTAAATGCTTCAGTCAATCAGCGCAAGTGTATTTACAATCAAAGCAGTTTAGATGAATTTAATTACACTCTTGTCAATTACCCACACAGTCCTTATCGGCCGGTGTCGTTTGCATTTAGAAAAATTAACAGGTTCAAGTTTAATTGGTAACACTTCGATTTGGCTCATTTTACTCTACAAACGAGCCTTGCCATCCGGGACGAAAATATTCAGCATGACTTGTGAATTCAGAAGCTGTACAAACTTCATGTAAAGGAGCGATTCTCCCATAGAAGTTAGCTCAAACCGTTTGATATTATTTCTGCAGTAACGATTGGGTTCTATAATGTAATTTATTTTAAAACAACAATCATAATTCCCTGGCGAAGTGTTTTTTTTCTGTGGTGCAGAAACTGTAAATTCTCGAGTGGCTTGGTGGCTGGAGCTTCGAACGGAGGCGCTGACACGTATGTACAATGTTGGCTGTGACGCACTCGTCGGCTACCGCGAGGAGTGTACCATCTACGAGGACATCTGTGTACTCTCTGTCTCCGCCACCGCGGTGACGCTCAACCAACTTTGGACCCATTTCTTCGACGTTCCTGGACCCTCTTCCTTTCGGCCCTCGAAATCATCCTCCTTGAGACAAGGCCGGTGCATTTTCTCTCTGTTCCCCTCACCTTGTCATCCTCGAGCATGATGAGTTTCTCAAAAATACCTTAAGGCGACCATTTTGTCTCTACTCCATTGAATATTTAGCTACCGATCATAGAATTTATTGGAACTTTGGCGTTCGTGCAATTGATCTAAACGCACAAATTTTTCATTGATACACTCCTATTTTTAGCTGAATGATGTTCCGGTTTCGTTCTTCATTCCGTCTATGGCCAGACTTACGGCAAATCTATGTTGAATCTAATTTTATCTTTGACATAAGTCACGGCTCATAATTTGTATACATACTTTTGGAAGCTTCAGTTTTTGAAGCTCGATTTTACTTAAAGTCTAATTCTCTTGTAATTAACAGTGATATATATACCTAGATGGGTTTTATTATTTGAACATTAAACCAATTATCGTCATCGACACCAGTGCAGCCACTTAATTTTCCCTCCATCTTTTTCATATCGTCTCGGTGCAGGTATTGGTGTAAATTATCATCCAGAATAGAAATAAAGACGCCAGTAAACACAAAATTAGCCCAGATGAATTGCACTTCATTTCATAAATATAGTTTTGTCCACATCGCAACGTGATCCCATTTATCTGTTCACGTCATCATCTCGTTGTTTTATAGCCTTTACTAATTGCATCTCCAACACCATCCTCAATCGTTATTATTTAAAACACCTTGTTTGGGCCGTGTGCTTTGCAAATAGCCTGCAAATTGGCGCTCTCAGACAAACGTCAATGTGGTCTATCTGCACGTTCAAGTATGAGTTGAGGGGATTGGGTACGCAGTTTCTAGGACAAATGTTTAAAACCCGTATTTCATTCCAAAGCTGCACCTAAAAAAACTCACCACTGGAGAATTTCATTTTTTTTAATTAAGTGGACCTATAATTTAGTCGGTTAGATCATTAGCGTTACGCAGCACGATGCCAAATATCGTTTTAATCCAGATTTGCGGGATAGTGATACGTAATTCATGCAAGTGAAAGCGGTTTCTGTATCAAACGAAATCTTTTTTGTTGTTATTTCAGATTCACCAAGTAGAGTGGCGGACATTATTCAGAATGAACGCGACCACGTCACTGATATACCCAGCGGTCTTCCTGTCTCTCCCAATCCTAAAGGGGTCGCAGACAATTCTCCTTGGACATGCTCAAAGTAATTAATTGGTCTTAGTTTTTCTGACCTGAAAAATAATCCATTTTGAAGTTTTACTTGATCTTGAGGGGTTTAACACTTGCATCTCAACTTATCTGAGAACCCGACTTTTGTTCTAGCATTTACTTTGTAGTGTAGATTAGTTATTTTGACCATTTAGGTTTGTCCGGCTCCATTTTCGCACCCATTGCTAACTTGTAGCAAACAACATTGATCGTGCGTAACGGACGAGGTCCGTAGTTTGACGCTAATTTTAGTTACGATTGCAGTGTTTGTCACATACCATCACTAAATCAGGCTCTGCCGCCCAATAAATCAATGCGATGCCGAGTGTGCCGAGTGGCTTTTGTCCCCGAATTTCTCCTCTCCACGACGGATTTTCCTCCTGAATTGTCTGTCGTCGGTAGACCATCATTCATTCAGGTTGGGTACGTAGTTTACATCACACATTCCTATAAAATCTTCGTTAAACTAAGCTTACTTTTTGTGTGTGCGGACTTTTGCTGAACTCTTAGCAAACAAGCGGTATCATAATGGTGCGTTCACACTAAAGATATATGAGTTCACTTTATTTGTTGTTTCAGGATCCCAAATAGATTATGTGGTCCTTATTTCCGTTAAGTTCCACTCCTTCACTTTCGCTTGGTTCGAAAACCAGGGATCAAGTGCTTAGTATGCAGACTATAGCACTTGTGAAAGTGCCCCTCCTCTCAAATGATTTTTTAAACACTGTAGTTTGAGTCGCTCAAAAAAAGTGGAGAAGGGCGAGTCGGCTGCTCGAGAAATCAGTGAGGTATGCTTTTCTCTTATTTATAACCCAGTCTGTTAGCTGCTTCCTTACATCGAATACGAACTTCACTACCGACTCTTACAAAAACTGAGGGTAGGTATAACCGTTGACAGTGGCGATCTTTTAGTTGCGAGGGATGAATGCCATTTTTGGACTTTCTCTTCAGTTGGCTATTGGTGAGGATTTAGTAGTCGTACTAGCGGTACGCCACTCGCTTATCCTCCTTAAATTTTCTACCGGTAATTATAAGCAGTAAATCCATCTTTTATTGTTAGACTGGTACTGGAGTCTGTATTCCAGCGCTTCCATCTGCACAACTCCCAAAGGTGTGCCCTGTGAGTGGAGTAAGTGAAGTTTGCTGCGTCTTGACTTTTTCTTCATCGTTACTTTTTAATGGAAAAAGGATTCTTTTAGAACCTCAGCACCCTACATACCGATCTATTGCGTAACTTAAGGACTTTCAACGACAGATGCTGCGTGCTATTTGGAATCCCAAAAGTAATATTTTGCCATTATCGAGCTTATTTTAATCAAAGCACAGTTTATTTTACAAAGCAATGCACAACAATCACACAATTGAACACACTTTCACTAAAACAGGTCGCCTATTTTATATTTAAAATTTGGTTTAGGATTCTGCATAAAGCTAGTTTCAGATTGCGAAGATTCATATTTTTAAATGGATATTGGTTGGCCTTCATATATTTCTAATCCTCTACTAAGGAAGCTCATGGATCATTGCAAATTGAACGGGAAAACGGTTACAGCGACCCCTTTGATTCGTTGGAAGGGGGAGTCAAAGCAGGCAAGGAGGAGGAGGTGGTGGCGACAGCTGTAACTAAAAGAAGCGGAATCATCGTTCCAAATGATTCTGTAACGAACGAAAAAGACCATAGTGAACATGCGAGTACCTACTTTGTGGATGCTCGGGAACCGGAGCCGGAGGAATTGAATTCTCTCCTTAGTGATCCGCTCCCACCACCTGGTTAGTCGGTCTTCAAATGCATTTTGTCAGTTTTTTACCACGTTTGTTCATTACATAAAAACTCGTGTCTTTTGATCACCGTCTCCTTTTGTAATATACTAACACATTGGATCCGTTTTCAACGATACCCTTCTTATAGGGCTTCTATTCTCGACAACGGATTATCTCCCAAATGACGAAAGTTTTGCTTGGCTTGTCAAGATTAAACGAGAACAAAGTGATTGCGCCTCCAACAGTTTCTCCTGGCGACGTCTTTATTCATTTGTAAAAGTTCACACCATTCAAACCCTAAAAGCGGATGACGCACTGGGCTCAATGCTCTTATGCTACTCGAATAGTGGTCCACTAGTCGGTGATATCTCTCTACCCATTCTCCACTCCTCAACCTCATTTGACTCTACGCTGAATGCTCCCTTGGTCAATAAGTGCATGGCCAAGTGCCTGCGTGATTGCAACCAGCTTACATGGTTTCACTTCCGCTGTGTCATGCCCTGTGCCATCACCTCTCTCAGGTACCGTCTAACCGTCGTTGACGACGATGTTGTGCAAATAATTTGCAGTGGAGTAGCACTTTCTCTTTCAAATGAAGAATCTGCTTCATGCAAAAACATTTCTTTAGGAGTGCTTAAGGCTGAGGGTCAGAAATTGTCGGTTAGCAATACACGTAGAAGTCTATTTAACAGACCCAAGGGTTTTCGGTCGGTCCCCGTGATGGAGCCCAAAACAATCAGTCAAGCGAGCGAATTTGAAAGCAACTATCCTGAACAATCTGCTGGGAAAAGCTCCAATAAAAAGGCTAAGTGGTGGAAACCCTTTTCCAAAGATTCATCCGCCAATCGCTCGGTATGTGAAAGCACTAGTTCCGCACAATTTGTCCACTTCCTGTGTCTGCCGATCGTGTAATCACATTAAGACTCTCCTAATCATAAGCTCTATTCGATAGGAAGCCTCGACTTCTGCCAAATTTTCCGACGGCCTAAACGATCGCCCGAACGCTCATAGTGGCTTCGATACATCCGAAGGAAAGTGCATTCTTACACCTTCTCCCAAACTCCTCGACTGCGAAGGAACACACTACTTGGGCAGCTACTCTTTCTTTTTTGTTCGGGAAACCAACGATCTGAGGGAGGTAAGCTCTATTACATCCAAACTTAATCGATCTGATGGAATCGACTTAGTCAACCAGTTTTGAATAACAGATAGGAATAAAATGGGTTCTGGCATCGCTGAGACGTGTATATACCCTGCTCCGATTAAAACATCCCTCGCCACTACACATTTGATGTAGCCGACAAATAGAATGCATCTTTGGAAAAGACTGGTTCCCAAATTCCGTAAAACTATTTTCAAAGCTACTTTAATGGAGACAATGTGAAATCTGACTCTCTTTTGTTTCAGATGGGTGGACTGAGGTGTTTTATTCATGCAGCTGTGATGGAAGCCCAAGCAGTAGCGGCAGCACACACTGTAGGACTTGGGGGAAATGCATTGCTTTCGTACCAGATCACTGACTTGCTGATCACACGACCAGCCTCGCGGAACCAGGCCCAGTGCCTCGTAAACTTATGCGGTGATATGGCTCGGACCAGTGCGAATTGACCTACCCACCCTGCTTCATTCTATTTCCAAGTGAATTGTGGCTATATTGATCTGCCCTGAAAAATTGTCGCCGCGTATTTACACTTATAAAAAAGGAAAATAAAGAAAGTAGATAAGCCATCTAACGGTATTTTACATATGTGTGAGGAATGTCTCGGTTTGCGGAAGTTGCTGTACGCAAAGTATTCCACGGAATCTATCCAACAGTTGGCCCTCCACTTCTTGGGATATGGTTTTCTGTGACACAGGATCAACCAACTCCCATTTGTCAAGCGTTGCAGCGTGTATGCTAAGACTCAAGTAAACTGGGCAGCCTAAACGTTTCGACAGACGCCTGGCCAGGGTTGTTTCTGGAGTGCTTCGGACCGATGGGAACAACGAGTTCTCGCAATAGAGAGACGAGGCACGCACTAGTCCAATTGGGCTTGGAATGCTTACAGAAATGCCTGAGGTATAAAAATACAACATCAGTTACCAGAAAATTGATTGGTGGAGTCCCCGATCCAAAAGAAGTAGGAGCAGTTAAGTTTCATGGTTAGCGCCTTTAAGCGAAGCATTGCACTAATAGGACCTACTTCCAAGTCATGGAATTGAATGCTAAAAACTTGGTTGTCCTGCAAATCAGCTATTTCGAGAACCACGTACCACACATGTGCACTCGACCATTTTCAAATTACACACGAATTTGGGGAAGGTGCGCGACAAATGGTCTGAACGAAATGCACAATTGATGAGAGTAGAATGGGGAGAAAATATGGTTACTATAGTTAAAATTTGCGGCTTTTTCAGGCAAGAAATTTTATTTAAGAAGGGTAACAAAAATCTTTTTGCAGAAATAGCCTCGATTAAGCAAAGTATGTACATTAGTCAGATACATCTAGAAAAGTACTGACACAATTCTATCTTTGCCTAGCTTCTTTCTTTCGTTGCACAAGCACCTTGGATCTCGCTCCTAAATTTTCACTTTGTGGTATCCATTTATTTGGTCTTTGCCAAAGGTTTGTGGGCGAAGCTACTACTACCCAAATGTGATGACTTCTTTTGGCATCATTAATGACCTAGAGCTCTATATTCATAATTTTTGGGTTAAAAAATTGTTACAAGATAATTAATGTGCGGTCGAAAACCAGATCTCCTCCAGAATCAGAACTTCCTACTCCTTTAGAATTGTTTTTGTTGCAATTTTGCGAAAAATTGCAATGTTAGCAAAGTATGAATGCATCATTTGGATACTTTGTAACCGTGAGCTCATTTATATTTGCTCCGCAGTTTTAGTGGTTTGTGTTCGCTTCAGGCGGTAAGGCCGCTCGAATTTAGCTGATTTGTCAAAAGAACATCTTGCTTTCTCCTAAAAATGTCAAAAGAGTTTTCCGTCTATGTTCATTTAGCAAATGGAGATTTTTCTGGAGACGAAAGAAGACATAATACTCATACAGAATATTTTCGCTCTCGTACGGAAGGCCTAGGAGCTACCGATATGGCCTAGAGGCCAGTCTGCTCGACGAAGGATCATTGGCGGTGCGTTTAATTACTTCATTACCGAAGTCGAATTAAACAAAAAACTAATGTTTTACACTTGGAAGAAATCACGGACTAGTTCCCTTCTAACCTCTAAAAATCTCTTACATTCGACCATTTTTGTGCACAAAGTGTTTTTTTCTCTTAAATCTTCACATTTCAAATCTATGAAACCAGAAATAGAAGCTTTGAGCACGGAAAATTTTGCAGCACTTCCTTCCTGCGGCATGGTCTATTAACCAGGATGAGATCTTTCCGACTTCCCTGTACGTTAGTGACATATGGTTTTTCACGTTTTTTTTGCCTTGTTATGACTCACGCGCATACTAGGGTGCTTGACTTCTGTTGAAACTGGGTGTTAAAGGTGGTACATGTCTATACGAGTGCACCTTTTAAGTAGCAAGCAAATAGGCTAGATCAATCTTGTGAACGGCATCATCGATTTTTGAGGGACAATGCACCATAATTTCAGAGCAAAATTTTAGCTATCCGTAAAATCCTACATTTCCTTACAAACAAATTTCTCAATCTAATGGCCTGGAATTGGAGACAGGACAGGGGGTTGTGACAGTATCACACACAATGTTAAATTCTAGTGTAGTTGCTTTTATAGCTGGCCAAACAGCTTATGTTAGTACTTTGTTGACCCATTGTAAAAGTGGCATTCTCAGCATTGTGTATTGGGCTTCTTTTTCCATTTTTGAGTTTTTTTGAAGGCTTTAAATTGAGATTTTTATTTAGTGTATGAGTTTTCTTAAACTTCCCCTAAGAAGTGGAAAATTGCAAGCTTTTTCAATTAAAACACGGTTAGTTTAGAATAAATACGCTGAACCCTAAAGGGTTACGCTTTACTTCGATGGCATCATTATAATTGACCTTTCAGATTTTTTGGAGACACTCATTGCATTTACCATCATTCGATTTTTCGTTATGGGATTGGTTTTTTAGTTTGTTTAAAGTTGTGAACAAGCGTCACTTAAGTGGTCGCGCTAATGACGGACGGCTGTCCTTTCAATGATGTCGAAAAGGTTTTTCGCTTGTCATCACTATCGTGCCATGAGGAGGAAGTACCGACCTCTCGTTGGGAGGAATTAGCATCAAGTATTTGTGATTTATTTGTTAGATCCAGAATAATGGACGTCGAAACAATTTCTCCTCGACTTCTTACCCGGCTTTTCGTAGTCATTTTTGGGTGCCTAGGAAATGATATTTCAACAAGAAAAATAACCAACTGCAATGCACAGCTCACAACATTGGCTCAAGAATTACTTGATTCTTTAATAACCTCCTTTGGGGTTATTAACGCTGGTGGTCTCTTGGCTATGAATCTTCGCGAAGGCTCGGCGGAGGTTCCATTGTTTGATCTTATTTTACGTGAAAGTGCTCATTGTATCGCTCGTCTCTGCGATGACTCAGGTGGTGATTCACTGAGCAGGGGGCCTCTTTTTCGTGATGCACTTATTTGGGCAACTAACCTAGTTAATTTTCCTGTTTTACGCGATGGTCAACAATTAGCTATTTTGCACCCACTGGGCCTTCAGTTGGTTGAGGATTACCGATGTCAGCTTAAAATGCTTGGTCTCAAAATGCTTATACATCTAGCTCAAGAGGCTGTGGTGGCATCTTGGCGAACGACAGGTCGTGCCGAGGCAACGCTGGAAGCATTGACTTGCCAGCGTTCTATCCATTCCGGGAGTGCGGTGGGCTTCTATGTGAATTGTCGATAAGTTGGTCTGTGTACTCATGCTGATTAACTTTCTTTTTGCAGCAACTCGCAGAGCTGACGTACAACTGTATTTCTGCATTTATGTCCGTACTCGAGCCTACTCTTCAGAAAAGTTGGGATTCCAAATTTGTGGACATTCTTCTATGCGATCTAGCTCTTGAGACTTCTCTTGACAAAAGAATAATACTTTTGAGGCACATTTCAAAGTCAATCGACGGCTTGGGTCAGGAACTGCTGGTTCACTCAAAGCGACTACTAAAAGCTGCGGAACTGGTTTTGCTAGCCCCCCGTGCACCTCCATACGTGAGTAACTCTCCTCATCTGAGGCTGTCGTTTTTCTGTTCAGTCATCTAATCATGTTTTCTATTTCCCATTCACCTTTAGAAGAGAGAGATTTATTCGCAAGAGCACGAATCCTTCCTTCTACAGCTAAATATTCTAAAGAAATATGTTGACTTGGTCGCCGGTCATCTTCACCCAGATATTGTCCCAATGATTCTACCACTGATAGTTGCTTTTGTTGACTTAGAGTGGAGCAGGAAAGAGGTTGACTCTATTTCCTCCTCCATAGAGAATATGACCCATGTTATAGTTGCAATCTTCGGCAAGCTAGCTGCTGCCGATGGTATAGCGTTTCGTGACACACTTAGCACATGCTTCGAACTGTTTCCATCCATCAAGCCTATCCTATGTACATCCACTTTTGCATGTTTGTGTCAAATATAAAACTTTTTAAGGAAAACTACTTTGTCTACTAGAAAACAACACGTTTAAGATGCAACAGGTCTATTCATATTGAACGTATCTACACAGACGAGCAGAGTTATGGGGCTAGAATATGGACCTCTCTCGGAACGGCACGCCCAAGTAGAATCGATCGAAGGAGAAACGGGTTAAGTCTATTGACTTGTAGTGTCGGTAGTGAACGAGTTCAGCTACGGCGCGACCGATAGGCACTGCATGTTGAATACCAAGACCTGACGAACCAGTTGCTAGGATCATATTGTATAGGTAGGGGTGCTGACCGATGATAGGACTTTGATCGATCGGATTATAGTCATTGAAGCATGACCATGCAGACTGAATGCGTGCTGATGCCATTGCAGGGATTCGTTTTGCAAGCCGCGGCTGAATCTCCTCGTTATACTCAGTGTAATCCACACTTAAATCGTCAGATTCAGCCTGGAGAGGACCCAGAACTGCACAATGAGAGTGTGATACAGTGTTTACAAGAGTGAACAGCATGACAGCTCATTCTCTCGGATGGGCCAGAGCCCTGTCGACAATAATCTATTTTGGAAATGAATAATTAGCTGTTAAATAGAAAGGAGAGCATAAAGTTATCCTTAAAAGTTTATGGAATGAACCTAAAATCAAAAACCGTCGCGGCAGATGTAGGCAAAGATAAACTCATGTGAATAATTGAGACGCACAGTTTTGCCCTCGCGGGGTTGGGTGGGGTTCATGCAGACAGCGAAGTCACCTGAAAGGCCCTGACGCTGAAGCATAAGACCGGAGGAGTCAAGAACGACCGGAGCGTCGATACCGGGGAAGTGCCTGGAAGATTGGGAATAATCCGGACGCACAATGAAGATATTCTGCTTCCTAAAAAGTGTGCGGGTAAGTGCATCTGGATGATAATCAAGCAGTATACGAGAGGAAATACGCTAATTTCTAATAATATTCTAAACAGAAGCTGGTAGTTTTACTGTTTTCACTCTTTTAAAAAGGGTAAAATGAAATTAGTACAGTATAGTACAATTCCACACCGCTTTTGAACGGGCAAAGGGGGAACCTCTTCCTGCACTCCTGCCATAGCCATTTTCATGATCTCACTGGACCATGCGCCCGCACAATTGACGACTGTGTAGAAGGCGATTTTCTCGACGCCACCAAAGGGCGTCCTGACTATCACTTCGCTGAGGCGAGGAGCATTCAGAGGAGCACGCTTGGGCCTATCCAGGAAGCATGTTCGCGTTAGTCCCTTGAAGTACGTGAAGCCCTGCACCTGCCCCACAACATAGTTCGCACCAAACACATGAGCTTTGTTTCGGAGCCGACGCACCAATAGCCAGGGATCAAACCAACCCTCGTTTCTATCGCCTATTTATATTAAACAACAGCATGTTGACATCACGCACTAGTCAAATTAATCACTAAAAAAATGAAATTCAGAGTACTGTTTAATCCCATCAAAAATAAAAGCTAAAAGTAATTATGTAAGGATAAGGCTGACCGTATGATGCCAAATGAACATCGCCCACATTGAGCCAGGGCCATCGCGCCTCAACTTCATTTGGTGTCATCAAGCGGTTGGGTAGTTCAAGCGCCCTAGACCGTATGACTTGCAAAATGATGACCTACGCCTGCAAGCGATAATTTTCCTCCATTTGTTTGCACTTGTTTTTATCTGCTAGGATAAGGTGCCCGTGCGGATTGAAGTTTATATCCGCATTGTCATCTTCTAAGCAAGACAATGAAAATAGGTGGGAAGAAAGTTAAAATATCCCGCATAGTACTGTATTTCAAAGAAGTTTATCAGCACTCTTAGCACTGTCTACCGTACAGTGGACTGCGCAGGTCATTTGAAGTTTCAAAAGCTGTCACTTACGTGAAACGGAGAGTTGTTCATTGATATCGCGCAAGAATTCGGCTGTGAAAAGAGACATCTGAATGTTTTCAGGCTCTGAAAATTGCGTGCGAAGATTACCCAGTCCTAATAAACTGGATGAATGCGACAAACTGGGATCACGTTCAATTACAGTTACTGTGGTTTTGGACAGATACCGGATCCAAAATGCCACAGACCAACCAACAACTCCACCGCCAATCACGACAACATCAGATTGCTTGGGAATTCGATCTTCACGATCTACAATCGAAAGTAATGAGATTATGGCCAGAATTTCTACACAAATAGGCCTACATTGAAAGCCTGGCTGTTCAAACCGGTAGGTGCTTAATGATGACGGTACCGAAGAGGAAAAACGACGATGGCAACAGCCCCAGAGTCTTGCAAGTCGAGAAGTGGTACAATGCATCGGAAATCAACAAGAAGATCCTGAAAGAGGAAAATAAGCCAGACTGTCCCTTGTCAGATGTAAGGAGAAAACCAAACAAGTAAATATAGAGACCGAGTTACGGAACATATACTAGTGAAAATTAAGTCCATAGTATAGAGACTGAAAAATCAAGCGCAATACTACCAAGAATGCCGCTAATTTAAGGCGCCATCCATAAAGGCATTAGCTTTGTAACGGCTGGTGGTAAAAGATTTAATCGAAGCTCAGTGTGATAGTGGTAGCAGCAAATACATGGCACATTGAACTAGATAACTAAGTAACGTTTGTCTGAGGTATATGACTCGTCAGGGCATGTTTCGGAGATTCTATCCTACCTACAAAATTGTGGAGCAAATTAGTAGGCGACAGAAGTTACTCCCATTGAGCTCGTAGGCCCAATGCTACATTACTAAGCTAAAAATGGCCCTAGGTGTTCAATATTATTTCAATAGACGACCTTGAGCAGAAAGAGTGAAATTTTGACTGAAACACAGTTTTAGAACTCCCAGAAATGTGGGTGTTTTGGGAGTTTTTATAGCAGGTTATACTTTTAAAACTTAAATCTGCAAATAAGTGGCAAAAGTACCTGATATCTAGCTATAATTCGAATTGGCGGTAGTAAGGGTCTGTAAAATTGCACACCAAAACTTTTGCAGAAAGAGTTCCAGAACATGATTTTGGTTTCAAAGTCACATTGCGCATTATTTTTCATACTACTATCTGGTGCAATTCAGTACGCACGCCTGGCATTTTTGAGTAGCTACAATTCTAGGCCTATTAAATTGATGTGTAAAGACTGGGACTGACAAATTTCCTAACATATTTGGACAAAAAAGTGGACACTTGTAATGAGTTTACTTTGTAATCTGCTACCTATACCAAGGCTTGTAAATCAATCACTTTTATAGTCTGTTGACACTTTGGAGAAATTGGCTTTAATTTCATTTCCAACAGGAACCAACATGTTATCCCAGACTATCAACAGATCTGCTTGAGTATATGCTCTAAACCAAATCTGATTCACATTTTGGTGAGGTCCAGAATATTTTCAGTTTATTTTCGCTTCATTAATTACATTAACCACAATTGAATGACCTACACGAAAGGTCACGCAGGTGGCTATATAGGGTGTTGCTCTTGGTGTTCGAGCGATTCGAGTGATTTTTGCTTTTACGGAAATGGATTTTGCTACGGCAGCCGCAGAGGTGCAGACGTTGCCTTATTGTTCGGATGATGACAAACTATATCTCTATGGCCTATACAAACAGGCAACCGTTGGAGACGTAAACACAGGTATTACATACTCTTTTGTATGTAATCGTACGTTTAGCTAAACCTGGTATGCTCGATGTGAAGGGGAAGGCTAAGTGGGAGGCCTGGAATGGGAGGAAAGGTTAAATTCCGCTAGTTGTGTAATTTTTTTGTTTAGGTATGTCTCGATCGGAAGCGGAGCAAGAATATGTAAAGAAGGTTCAAGCGTTGTTGGCTAGTACGAAGTAATGTCGTATGCATAATATACAGACTTTAATGCGGTTCTTTCTGTTATGTAATTTTGTGGGGTCTATCTGTTGGCATAAATTAGACGAAAAATTCTTAGTGCTGTGATAGAAGGGCTTCCGGATTCCCAGTTATCTCCTCCTGTACCTAGATTAGGGTTAAGAATGCCGCGTCGTATTCATGATGTTGGTGATGATACGGTGGTGGGGATGTGGTCCGCAACTCTTCCGCCTTGCGTAACGCAAGGTTTGCTGAGTTACGCATTTCCGAGTCCTTTTTAGATGTGAAGGCGATGATATTGGTATAGACGAATTCGAGGCCGTTTGGCACTTATCGCAATTGTTGTATTCTCCAGCATAGTGGGACTTGTCTTCCAGTGGTCGGAAGGCGATAGAGATGTATTTAAATCATGGTGATTCTTTTTTATAAAATCAATCGTTAGGGAGTAGGCTACATTTGGGTGTCATGAACAGTCTTGGCGTTGTAGCTGTGGACGTGTGGATTGTTGCAGTCTCTCATGCTGAATACCACTGGTGTCGTATTACCACCAAGGAGTACAGCGTACACGTAGGCTGACTTATTTGTAACGTGGAATTGGCCGTGGGTCTACTTGCTTAAATTAGCCGGCGGTTACGTGGACAACACTGTGTCTGAGGTACGCTCTGTGCTTTGCACTTGCACTGTTTCAGATCCTGATCTTGTATTGAAACAAGGTGCAGGTTCTGGGGTAGATTGGTTATACTAATGGGCAGCTCCGCCTCACTTCAAGGATCTCTATTGATTCATGCAAGATTTCGCCTACTTACTCTTCAGGTATTTCTAACAAGCCCAATCTTAATTTTGCGCCAATTGCTATATACTGCCTGCCAGGAAGGCAGTGATTCATGAAGACAGATGCCTTGAACTCATATGACCCTTTTGAATCAACTTGTCTGTTATTAAAGCAGTCGCTTGTTTGGTTGCCTAGGCAAGCAATTGGTTTAATCAGAGAGATTTCAAATAAAATCTTTATGACTTACGACGACCTTTGTAAAAGTAAACTTGTAGAATCAAGAATGCAGAACTACCATCTCTCTTGATTCATGACCAACCAAACATAGGAATCTATAAATTCTTTTATGAAACGTAGCAAAGTGTCGTCATTTACTCGACGATCCTTATTTTCGGCTAAATTTTACGATAGAGAATATGACCACAAAGTGGCTTTTACTAGGAAAGTGTGAAAGTCTGTCTATACATAAGTACCTTTGAAATATAACAAATAGTGAAGCAAATTATGTTATCGACGTTTAAAGTGCAGTAATACTGAGCCGGGATGGGCCATTGACCCTGTTCGGGGATACTCTCTGAGTGATTTCGCCAATGGTATGTATCACTGATGTCTTTGACAGGTGATGGTTCAGGTCTGCGCAACCCACGACACGCGTTGAATAGACGTTGGAATTTAATGCAACACATGAATTATTGGAATTACTGTTGGTGGACAAATGTGACCAATCACCGCAGCAGCCCCATTTCTAATTTTTTTTTTAATGTATAGGCATGAATGAACCCCAAAATACGAATTACCTTACATCACTGTGATCCATCAATCACATCTTCTTCTGACAGGAAACGATAATTTTCCTGACATTAAATCTTCTTTTCAAAGTTTTATTTTATTGCACATGGTGGAAAAAAAATCACAGGCGAATTACTTGTTTGTCAGATTTTGTGGCGTGACTGTCTCATCATGTTCGCGAAGGTCATCACAAACACTTTATCAAATTATCACTTTATACCATTGTACTTCTACCGGATTGTTGCGGCTTACGCAATACAGAGCCGATGATTACCTCTTCAGTAAAGCAGAGTCCCGATGTGATTAACTATAGAGGGATGTTTTCATGCCTCTTAAAAGCAGCACTTTCGTTTTGCACTGTTATACACTTTTGAGTCTTTTTCGAGAAACTCATCCCACACGGAATATTAAACATCCCCATAGGTTATCCTTTAAAGAAGTTGTTAGCACTTTTAAAGCCCCACATACTACGTTCTTATCGGTTTAAGTCTTATAAAACGACGAAACGGTACCATTTCAAGCTATGCAGCTGATAAATCAACTTATGAATTTAGGTTTCGACCTAAAATATCTTTTAGTAACAGTCATTTGCCGAAAATAACCAAAAATGAAATAGATGCATGATTTAATTTTTCACATTTTTAGTACTTATTTTGCTCATATCATGAACTCAGTTGATTATCTTGGGCTTTATTTTAGCGTCTTCGGAAGCACTATCCTAAATTGAGAGAAAAATGAAGGCGACAACTCCTCGGTGGTCATCAAATGATAGAATTATTGAGCTTGTCTTTCACTTTGATGTCGTCGTAAAGAATTGGCATCTTCTTGTGAGAGTGATTTACGTCATTAGGTTGCGTTTGCGTGGATGTATGTGAATGTAATGTCTTCACACTGCTGAGTGGCAAGTTCTCATATGAACCCTAAGATAAATATGAAGAAATACGCTTTCAAATAACTTAAAATCCATGTCGATGGCCAAATATCCTTATTTTGAAATATTATAGTTGGTAGTGTTATAAAGGTCAGCTAACAGTTATAAGTGAAGTACCTGCAGATTGTCCCGGCACTTTTCAAGGTGACTCAGAGCGGTGTTGTACCACAATGACTTTAAAATACTATGATAAATGAGTGTATTTCCTAGTAGTTGATGTGATATCTAAAGAGTAAGGGCCCAGATAAACAATTTGGGATAATAAGCCGTGACATATTGCATCTCCGAAGTAACGTTGAGGTTTTGTAAATCTGCCTAGTTTTTTAATAAGAACCACACATATAAATGAGAACAGATCATACACTGCATGAGGCCCTCTTAAACGTAACATTCCAGTACTTATGAAAAAACGGATTAGAGAATAAGCATAAGATAAACTTGGCGTCGTGCTTGAACGCGGTTTTGAAGGGTTAACTGGATCTTTGGGACAAACCGCGTTGAACGAGATTTCAGGTATTTAGCACGATAGGCTCGGAAAAGACATATTTTGTTCCACCTACCTTGTTTATAATCAACACTTGCGTTCCTTACCGTTTACAAAGCAAAAAATGAGAGCAGCCATATCGCATTTATATCGTTTGTGTAAGCCATAAAACTTTGCGTAATGTGGTAAAACTGTAATTATTTAAAAGAACATGTGAATAGTAGTACCATGACATACTACTGCTTGCGCCAAACCATCAAAATAAAGCCATCAAAAATTGATATCACAATAAAAACAACAATGGCAACGGTCACAAGTGTTTAATTATATTCTGTTCATTATATTGTCTTTTTTAGCTCTTCTACCCGAGGAACGACTAGCAGTAAAGGTCCACTAGTTCGTCTCACCAATGCAGTGTGAAAATAAATCCAGTGCAAGCTGATGAATAATAATGAATTCGCATCAAAACTACTATAAAGAATAATGAATGCCAAATGTTCTGTAGAAAATGAGATCTGAATGCATTTTACAGTCAAGGGAATGGCTGATTCATCAAAGTTGTGGAGATAAGCTAACAAGCAAGGTGAGAAGGGGCGACTATGTTTGTAAAATGAATTGTTATCAAACGATAAGAAGTAAAAGCCGATTCGCTAGGTCATTTCGTACGCTCTAAGGCATATTCTAAAGTCACGATGCAAAAATTCCTCTACCTGTAGCCTAGTCAATTGCCCATCGGCACAATTTGAATTACCGAAATGTGGAACGCTAACACACCATGCAATCTGCTACACGCTACCTAAAAAATAGTAGTAGTGTTTGTATTCGTCCCAACAGCTAGCAAGCACAGCTTGGATACGATTCATACCTACCTTTGCATATAATTTGTGGTAAGTCCGTTTGTTAGGAGAATAAGTGTTCCATTTAATTTCATCTGCAATTACCTCTTCGGGGAAAATAACTTTTAGCAGAATATCACCTAACAACTTTTCAAAAAAAGTAAAATTGTGAAAAAGACGTAAACCTTATAATAAATCATTGTAAAGTAGTGATCCGAGGTGCACTAGGTCCACAAAATAATTATCCCTATGTATTCAAAATTTAACTCAGTTCTCCTCTTTAAGGCATTTGATATGCGCGCATGTAGTCGTTTTTATTTAAATTCGCAAAAAATATTGAAAGGTTTCGAGTAAATAAACTTTAGTGAGAGATAAAAGTAGTTGAAAGTGCCATATATTTCCTTAACTGCAATATTACCTTAAGTAAGTGTAGTGCTATTCCATTTGAGCAGAAGCATTTACAGGCGCAGAACATTAAATGTACTGATGAATCGTAAAACCGTCGTTACATCACATCACGGTGTACCAAATATACTGTCTCAAAATTTTTACCCATTCGAATAAAAACATTTCGAAAAGGATGCAGTTATTTCCGGAATGCGCAAAACGCACTCGTTTACAAATTTGGTGTGCCTAAAGAAGGGTGTAGTCGAAAGGACTACATTGGGCAAGTGGTGTATAAGTTAAAATAACCGATGATTTCTTCCCGAATTTAAGGATTTTTATGTTCCAAATGTGGCATCACAAGGGATTGCTACTGATCAAAGCTACACACTTCGAATTGGACGAAACACATAAGTATTAAATGAGCTTGAATGTGACACGAGTCAATCAAAATGGGAATGGGAACATTGTGCAAATACATTTGCAGAAAGGTGGAGAGCTTAAAGAAAAAGTGGAGGTGAAAGATTTATAAGTTCATAATCATCCATTGGAAACAAGACAGCCACCCTCACTTTGATCTCAATTCCCAAATCCTCTTACAGTTTTATAGACAAGCAATGCTATTAAAACCCAGTCACACTATTTTTCAAAGGCACTCTGTTTGGGAACACACGGAAAATGGAAAGCACCCAGGATTTGGTGGGTAGTTTATGAGCTAGACTCCGGGCAGGAGAACAAATAGAGCCATCAACGGCAATACCAATAGGCGTCGATGGAAGGTGGCGCTCGACAATTAGAAAACTGTTACACTTTTTGGTAAAAAGCCCAATGAAGACACCTGAATGCCCTGGCTAAAAAAATGAGCTATTGTACCTAATCAGAAGAATCAGATTTTAGCACTCTTGAGGCGCAATTGTACAATTTTAACTGACTCCTCATTCGTTGTTAAAATCTAAGCGTTGTCTTTCCCAGGTAGAAGAGTACACAATTAAATAAGTTAACCCTAGCAAAAGTCTGTTTCTGTCACCAGAGGTACAATTTTAGCTTTGACTTTAAAATTGTGATAAAATGAAATGACATTCATGAACCATTAAAATTGAAAGCATTCAGATTTAGTATTATTTAAAATGATGAATCTGGTTTTTATAAATGTAGGAGTTAGAAAGAAGTAAAAATTTTCAGGACGCTAGTACGGATTGTTCAAATTTGTCGGTCCCACACATCATTAAAAACTACAAATTCGAGTTACTCGAGGCAACTATTGCGAAAATTCGGAAAATTAGACGCCGCGGTGGGCGTGCGAGTTAAAGTGAGGTGAAACTGTCGGTCTAAACAAACTAACACGGTTTGACAGTTCACGCAGAGCACGCAGGTGCTTGAGCGCTGTGTACCGGCTTTATGCAAAGTTGTGAAGAGGAGTGGTCTTGACGTTTAGTCTCTTTTGGGATGATCTAAAATAAAGGCATTTGCATTTAATGAAATGCTGATACTAAATTTTACAGACGCAACAGTAATTAAATTCCCGAAAAATGGCATGAAATCAACATATTATGCAAAGTCTGAATTGATAGGTCCTGTGAAAGGCGAGACTCATTTGAGAGGATCGTTTATTTGATCTAATGGTTAATAAGCGGAGATCGGCATTGGCGACTAATAAAACCGAGTAAGAGAGAAAAAACATTCGGTCAGTAGGCGGCTCCGTTAATTACCGCAGTGATCAAAGCGCATCCGTTGGCTGAACAACGGTGACTCGCTGCACGGCGTTGAGTGTGCCACGGCAAGAAGCGATTGGCTTCCGACCCCGCAACTTGTTGGTGGCAGTGTCCGTGAGCTAAACACCTCGTTCGCCGACCTGGGTAAGTCGACTAATTCTATCCTTTAAACATCCCCCAGATATTGTTAATCGTGCAAGGGAACAAAGAATAGCACTTTAAAGCTTTCCTATGCAGTTCATTAATATTTTAGGCTAATGTGTGGACTCCATGTATCCGACAAATATTTCATAACATCACGATGGAAACGTATTCGATGAATTTAAAAATCTTAGAAAGAAGTGCAAAATCAAACCATGAGATCCATGAAAAGTTTATTTTATTTATTTGCTAATAGAGTTATAATTATTTTCTGTTTTTATAACATACCGTGGCCGAACTGAGGGTTTAGACCTATGATTCCAATTTACATTTTCCTGCGATAGTAAATCGTATTCAAAATGCATTTAAAGTTATAATTACTTTAGTGCGCAAGATTGTGCATTTCAAATGAGGAGGAAAGTGAACGGTGAAAAATTACATATCTTAAAGTTTATTTAACTCATTTCAGGAAAAAATGAGAAGGAAGTTACTCATTTGACTGATGGACAAAGTAGCATATTAGTTCAAAAGGCAAGTGTCGGCAATATCACTTATCACCTACATTCGTAAGTATTTAACTTTTGGGAGGCAAAAGGAATTAAATATTAAGAATAAAGGTTAAAAAAGCTGTCAAAATAAAATTTCACTGTCTTTTTAGGTGGATGGGAAATAGGTGACACGATATGAATCATTGACGGAAAAATATATGTTTTCAAACTTTATTTGTTTGCCTTGTTTAAAGAAACGTTCACCTCAGGAAAAGCATAAAATATTATAAAGGATATTTTTTAACAATTGTTTGGCCTTCCACGATAACAAGACCAATAGAGTAGAAGACAATCCCAAGTCCGGTTCTTTGATTACAATTTGAAGAACTTGAAACGCTGATTTAATCATTGTAGGTTAGTCATTTTGAAGTGCGCAGTAAGTCAAACCATCCTCTTTGTTTCATAAATCCAAACTTCTAGCAAATTTTTTAAAGAAATGTACAATTATGCAATCTTTAAATCCACCGTATTCAGTTGTTTAAACCCTGAAATATCTTTATGCTCTTACAAAGCAAAAGCGAATGGACTTTGCACTTTATTTTTCACATCTGAGTAGGATTTGGAGTCACATAAAGTACTTCCAAATATCTTTTTTGCGCGATTGTCACCTTGCGTTTTAGTCATACGATTCAAATTCTCAATTAACATGAATTAGGTCCCACATATTTACCCACACTCAAACATGCGTATGTGCAAGTAAACACCTTTCAGCAAAAGAGGCTTCAATTGCAATGAGAATCGTTTAGTTGCCGAACGCGCCAGAGAATACCTTGTCAATCTAATATTTGAAAAGAACAACATAGCATGCCTAAATAGCAATATTCACAAGACAACGCAACAAAATAGCATTTAGTTGAAGTGGGATCTTCTAAGGACTGATACACTCGGTGTGATCAAGAGTAGTTTTATCACTTTTGTTTATAATTTCAAAGTTGCAAAACTGTGTCATGAAAGAAATGCATAAATTTGCACTTGGTGTTACTAGAGGCAATTGGATGCTAACTGGTTGGATAGGTCCGATTATACTTAAGTTAGAATGAATGGCATTTGCCAAGAATTTACATCAACAAAACGTAGATGATCATCAATATTTTTGAAGCTACACTGTGCGACCACAATGCCTGTTAGGTAAGTGTATTACTGACTCCGAAAGGAAAATGGTAGCAGTTGATAAAGCATTTTAAAGCAACGTAGTCTTCTTTGCAATCTGCATCGAAAAATTTGCAACAAAGGCTTTGTGAAATGATGAGACTCAATTTATGTATCTTTTTATGCTCACCATTTGGCATTATTAAGGTGGAATGGAAAGAGCTGGTATTTAAATTTATTCGTCTGCATCTGAGGAAAGTGAATATAAGTGCGCACGCACTTATTATAAACTACAAGTTTTGCAGTAAATGTCAAACTCACAAAAGATGAACTTTGCAAGAATTAAAAATAGAACAACGCGAAAATGCATAAACATTGATGCAAGCTGTAAGTGAAAAATTCAAGAGTTAGTACATTTGAGTTTACAAAATATACATTCCTCAATTCAGATTATCTGACAACCAAGAAAGCAAAGCAGCAAATGATTTGATATGTACTTCTTTAAAATAAGAACTAGGATCACAAATCTTGAATAAGTTTCCTGTTGACAAATTCAAAGGAAATAAAATTTCAAGGAATGAATTATAAATAGCTTTAAACTACACACTTTTGCTCGAAACGGATTCAAGCTAAAGGCAAATAATAGAAACAATATTTAATGGGTTAACCAAAAAAGAGAAAATATAATAAAATTATTTGAAAAGTTGTCTTATTCTTTTTTGCCCTAAAAACAGAAAGAAAAGACAATATTCAACCACTTTGCATTTTTAAGAAAAATGAGGGTACTCTATTTATGGGCAATGCTCCGAACTCCGCCAGAGCTTAAAGATACCAATGCACTAGTCCTTAGCGCCACTCATGAATGCAAAACCAATCGAATTTACCAAACTGACAAATTCTCGACATTATTTTGGTGGGTGAGGGCAGTCCATTTACTAATGGAGTTTGCAAGGGCAAATGGATCCTCATGGGATCTTTATGCTTTAAAAAACACTTTATATAAATTAACAGTGACAAGACATTAGTAAAAGCGTCCGTTGTTGTGGTGAGAAGGTATAATAGTATTTTATTCTTTTCTCACAGAAAATAAATTTGATTAAACAACTTGTTCTTGATTGCGGAATATGTACAGTAACGTTCATCCGATAAAATTACATCGTCATTCTATTTAACATAGGGAAGTGTTTAGTCACGTGACTCTTTATGAGCCATTAAGAAGTAGCTCACACATTTAGTTTCGCTATATGAAACGAGGATGTCTACAATTTGCCTAAAATTAAGTATTTTGATTGAAATTACGAATAAGCAAAGCATGTAAATACAGTCTGCAAGAAAAGCAGCTGAGTGCGGCAAAAAAGATCATGGGGAAAACGTGGAGGATTAAGGGTATTCTTTGGCACAGAGGATGGAGATGGAGGTTTAATTTAGCAATTTTCAGCCAGTCCTCAAACTTCATCCCATCTCCAAAAGGGAAAGTCTGCCGGTGCCGCCACCAGCGTAGGACAAGGCTCGAAGACCTTCTCTTCCCTGGTCCTCATACTCTTGAAACACCCAGGTTAATTCGACTTCGACGTGAATATTAGGATACGTAAATGGGGGAAGCAAGTACAAGTTTAGGAAGGTGTGGACATGGGATCGCTTTCCGGGTTACAGGATATTGACGCCTCCATCACGAGGTTTGATTCGTATGTCTGCCGCTTCTCTGGAAGGGACATTAAAACAACATAAGTATTACATTATATTACACTGGCAACATTTGATTCACAAACTACTTATTACTAGTCATTAAATGCGTGATTCGCTTTTGAAGAGATGACTTTTGTGAGATTTTGCCATGATTTGGGTTTTAAATAGCACAACTTTGTTCCAGTGGACAATGAAATTTGAGAGGAAACTACATACTGCTAGGATTTATTTAAATTTAACGCTTGTGGCATTTTAGCTTGCGGGCATGCAATTGAAATAATAACTATTTTGGATGTAATATTACTTCCGTAATAAGACACGTTGGCATTCGAGCCAATCGTGCATGATTGTTTTGTTAACAACTAGAAGTTCCAAAGCAAAAAATACTAATACTTAGTAAAAAAGTACATGTGAGTTAATTGAAATGCCTTTCATTTTTTCTAACCTGAACAAGGAGGATGTCGGTTATTTTTCCGCATTTATCGGATTTTCAGCACCAGTGCTTGAGGGGAGCTTTGTCACAGATGCTTTTAAGCACCATTGTAGTGAATACACAGCAAACAGTACTTGAGTTTGTAGTAGTGGGCCAGTATCATGCAAATTGATTAAAGATGAAGTTATCTTTTTTATATATCAGTAGATTTAAATACTGACGCACAAATTTTGTTGCTCTTGTGGTCAATACTTCTTCTCGAAATTGGCTTAATAAATAACTTTATTTGGGCTATCTCTACAAGACCGGTATTTACAGACAAACAATGCACATAAATGAGTGTTTACCAAATGGCATAAGTGAAGTGATATTTTAGAACCATGGTACTCTCCAATTAAGGATTTACTGTGGGTACTAATTTTGGGGAGGGTGCGCTGAGTCAAGTTATCTATTACGCATTTGGAGAAACTAAGTGCTATTTCCCTTGATTACGCATGTATATTTTTGATTAAGCTCCACAAATGTGCTGTAAAAGAGGTACTCTCATTGGAGGATAATTTGAATGCCACTGAATGACGCAGTAAAAGCCTACCAATGCGTAATAAGAGGGCCCGAGTTCCTCTTGTCCAAAAACACCGGTAGATAGACCCAGCGCTACTCCAATTTAAGCTAGAAATGCTTAACCAAATGCATCAAAGCTATGCAAAGCAGAGATTTCGCGAATCTAATTAAAGAGCGTCTTCCGATATAAAACACACCTTCTCTTTGCGTGCGAGATTGCTCTCCGGCTAATTATATTTATTGGCAACATGAAAACCCAATTAAACACAACAGTGGTGGTAAAGGAAGCAGGAAGAGAGCAGCAACTCTGCATTTCGTTTAGAAATCCCAATTTTTGAGTCTGTTCTTTGATTTGTAAGACAATTTGTTAAAAGAAATTGATTATTAACCAGTGATTAATTGATGTTTGACCTCAGTGTTAAAAATTTAAACGAATCATTTCGAATGGTACCTTATATCCTCCGTGCTCTTCTCTTAAAGCATAACATTTTTATTTAAAAGTGTGTAATAACTTTCGCAATAGTTTCATACGGATATATGATATTTCCACAATAATTAAAGTGCATGGTGTAGATGTCGGAATATACGAGCGAAATTTTCATTCACTTTAAGGTAGCTTGTAAATTTTAAGTTTAGAATAGTTTAAAAACATGGCGAAATAAATGTAAGCAGACATTATTCGACTTTATTTATTATCAATTTTCTGCATTTTTTACATATTATAGGATAAATAAGCACCAAGACTTACAGATTATAATAAAATCGACGCATGATAATTAAAATCAGTCTAAAATAAATTATTTTCGTTGTTTCAATACACTTTAACGCAAGACACAGCAATGTTTAAAAGTTCAATTGCACTTCAAGCATTGATCATCAGGCGGCTAAGCTGCATTCATCTAGATAACTGTTACTTTTGAACTTTGTTAATCAAAAATATTTAAAAATAAATTTGATTCCATAATGCCATTTAAAATCTGGTTTACTTGAGTAAGTCAGCTGTTGCATTAATAAATTTATCTCAAAATTTGAATACCTTAGGCTGTTTTAGGAGTGCGTGGTCGACACTCCAATTTTATCGCTAGTTACATTTTTAGGCCAGCTTTGAATGTAAGCTAAATATAGCAACCGAGTTTGAACTTCACACTACCAGCTTTAGCTAAAATCACCAAAATCATCGGTTTGCATTGACATGATAGTTATACACCGTGTTCTAATGGACGGAAAAGATTTCAAATGAATCCAAATAAATGTTAAGTGAGCCAGTAAACTATAACATTTGTCCTTTACGAGTCCTCCAAAAATGGTGCCTTCAATAAGCAATTTCGTAAGATTTCTAAGGTAGACAGTTTTACTTTGTAACTGAATTTACTTTCAGATAAAGTCGTTCAGTCCCATACGGTGAGAAGCGAGTACGAAGTTTAATGTTCTGCATTATAGCGTGTAGTCAATAATGTAATAGACTTCGGATGTGTTATAGTTGCCTTCAATGTTCCAGTACTTACAATAGCCCACG